AACTTCATCTGCCAGTTCCCCCAGGACCTACGGATGTATCTCACCAGGTCCCACAGACTTGTGTACTTTCACGTTCTTTAGATGGTCTCAAACCCGATCTTCTCCTACAGCTGGTGGTTCTTCCTTCTCCCAGTCACTGCCTTTGCCTTCTGCAACTTGGGCAGTATGGCTTGAGCTCTTGCCAATATCCTACTGTATGCCTAAGATACGCATTTTCGTGCTTTTATGAAGCCATCAAGGCAGCGGCTTTAAATTTATTTTTTTCTGAAACCAACAGATACCACCAGTAATTCTCTAGGGACTGTGTCCTGTATTAATGTAGGATCACCGCAGTTTCAAATGTTCTACACAACAGACTACACACAGATCAAACTAAAGCTGAATAGAATAAATACCCAAAAAAGGTGAGGCATGATGGGGGATCAATAGCTGGTTGCCAGGTCTGGCTAACGCATCTTGTAGAGATGCCTACGTATCATCATCTACTTATTTGTATTTCCTGTTCTTCATGCTTTCTGTACTGCTTCTATTTTCTGTGTCCTCTTACTGGGCTGCCGGATATCCTTTATTTTCTGCTCAAATCCTCCCAGAAGGGTATAGCATAATTTTGTAAAACTATGATTTCTGTCTATATTACAGTTCTATATACATATGTATATGTATACACATGTACGTACACACAACACACTTTATTTGCCCCAGAACCTACCATTAATAGCAAAGTGGGGGAGGAAGGTATTAGTACTCATTCTTGCTATGCAGGATATGTAGAACAGTTAAAGCCACCATCACCACAGAAACTCTAATTCATATTTCCTATATGTTACTTTTTTTTATTTTTCAAGCCTTCTTTTATTTCATAGATTTCTTGAATTCACAGCCATTGTTTTGTGCAAATGGAAAACACAGTAACATCTGTGAATGAAACATTCTCTTCATATTAATTTTTCCATGTTCCAAAGATTATAAAGAAACTTCCTTCATCAATAGTTAGAAAAATATCATAAGTAGGCAGTGCTTCCATTCTGTTGTCATTTCTAGACTAATGAAGTGGAATGGCAAAATAGCCCCACCCCTCCCCGCAAACTACATAATGAATTTCCTATATTCCCATTTCCTATAAGTTGGGGTTTTTTTTTACCTTCAGCCATTTATCGACACACTTGGCATGGAACTCATGGTTACAGGGTAAGACTCTAAGTAGCTGCCTTGACTCGAAATCACACATGCATACCACACACCTAAAAAAGACAAAAGAGTTCAAATGTACCTGCTATATAAGAACAAATACATATTCCACATAAAACTTTACAGGTACAAGTGCAATATGCTAGCTCTTCTACCCCTTGGGTAGCTAGCCACAGTTATCTATATCTGTGGTTGAAGATGCGTAGTGTGACAATGTTAAGTGATAACTGCTCTTTTTTTCTTTTTCCTGTGCTTTCCAGTCACAAAGCAGGTGCTCCTGCTCACAGGAGTTCACAGATACCACCAAGAGAATAAATGTTTAATCAAAACTCAAAATGGCAGATATGATGATCTATAAAGTTCACTCTCTACTGATCCTAGTAAGCCACACTGGGGGTCACTGATACTGTAATATCAAAGAAAAATCCTTACACTGAAGTCCAAACATTAGACAGCATTTGGTACTAAGTCACTTTAACTACCTTCATATTTATATGGCCTTTTCTACTTGGTTGTGCATATCTTTCAAACACAGAAAGTTAATGGGTTTTAAAAGTAAGATGATACACGCTTAACCACTGAACAAGCTCTGTCAGGAGCACTTGAAACTTCAACACTTCAAGCTATTTTAACATAGGCTAAATTCCAAGTTGACAATGTCACTTTAATGTCTAGTATGCTCAGCAAAACCTAGAACACCTTTCTTTCATTTTCATTTTTTAAATGCTGAGGAAGTAAACTGACACACAGCTAAATGATGCGAGGCTGGATAGAGGTTCTCAAGTAAGGATAAATAGCATTTGATCTGGAAAGCAATCCAAGAAAAAAAAAAAAAAGAAAATTAAACTGTTCACTGACATGACTGCTTTTAAGCCCTTCTGGTTAGCTTAGACTGCAGGTTAGAGAAATGAGAATATAGCCAGCTAAATTACGGTCCTTTGAAAGATACGAATGTACTTACAATGTCTGTTCTGACTGGTGGTTGTTTGGATTGAACCTGTAGGACGGAAGCTGTTCAATGTCTGCCTTTGTCAATCCTCGTGGTTTGGCTTCTCCCAGGCGTTCTGCCAAATTCAGCAGTGCCTGCAAAACATGGGAACTAGACACTTAAAAATCTACTGCTCAAACAGGCTCCGGTTCCGCAAGAGGTGGGGCTGCCATTACACCTCACTATCCCAGCTGATGGCACAAAACACCCTTCTAACAATGTTTAGAACCTTAGTTTTCTCTTGTGATACAAGCCCCATAGAAAGGATATTAAAGAGGGTTCTGCATCTATAGATGTGAACTACTGTACCCTCCCAAGGGCCAAGAAGCAAAGGCAGTAAGGTAGTTTTATAAACATTACATTTAATTAATCCTATGACATTAACACTATTCTATATTAACAGTACTTTGCAAAGTTACATGCATAAAACCAGTAACTTACCCTGTTCTTCTGAAAGTGCGTCACTTCTGTTTCATATTTTAAATCAATTAAAATTCAAAAGGAGAAGAGTAACATGTAGAATATAAAAGCTGAACAACTTAATGATTACTAGCCTGAAAAGATGGATTCTGGGAAAGAGCAACAGACAAAAAATAAAGCTAAGCACTTCTAACATCCAGTATTGCAAGAAAATCTGAAAGGATGGTTTCTTGTCTTTACAGTCCTTGCACTTCCTTCAAAGACAAAAGTAGGATTAAAAACCAAAATATAATGAAATGTTATGTATTGCTTGAGCTAACATCCGTTCTTTAAAGGTAGTTGTAGTTCACACACCAACCTCATAGTTTTCCACCTCTCCATCTTCCACATCCAACTCAAAGCTGAATGCTGGTCCAACTGCAGGTGGAACTGGGAGCATTGATCTACCATGAGAACAAACAATGATAAGGTTCGGCATCTTGCTGAAGGATCCCTGAATTTGATCCCTCTCAAATCAACAAGTTCTCAGAACTGGTAAAAATATTAAGTTTGAAGTAAAAAATAAACATCTGAAGTGACTCAAACGAAAAACTAATTCTGCCACTTTTCGATACTGAGAGTCCTACCTTTTTAACTCCATGCATGTCCCAACTGATACTTTCAATCAGGCTCAGCATTTTTACAAAACCTAATCTCTTGATTATCCCAGATTACAGAGAGCTAAAACCGACAATGAATTGACATTCTGTTTTTAAATGTTTTATTTCTTTAAGTGGATAAAATATCAATAAAGAAAAGGAATCCTAAGTTCAGTTAGCTCTCCAGTACAAAACCCCAAAATTTTTCTAAGCCTAAACCACAAAATAAACAGGATATGCTACTGGACCAACTTCTATACTGAAGGAAAGCACAAACTCACTTTCTCATATACTGTGATGTTGGTCAAAGCAGAGTCTCTTCAGATAGAGAGGCAAGAGAGAGATGTTTTTTCTGTTTCTATATTCAGCAAGTGTTTAACCCCCAAGATAGTCCTATTGGTCAAAACTTAATACCCAGACACAGACATCACAAATTCATAGCACTAAAATATACTAAAATCCCACTTGAAGTCACTAGGAATTACTGTGCCACATCCTGTCCTCAATGGACAGGCAAGAAGCTATGACATCACTCTTAGACTGTAAGATGCAAAGTTGAACAACTTCACTGGATCAGATTTCTCACACCATTTTCATGCCACATCTGAAATTGCACAGCGAGAAACTACAGATCTGATGCCAATGTTTGATTATTTCCTTGTCAATGTCACCTTTGGCACCAGAAATTAATCTTTGTTTTCCACACCTTTCATAACTTATTTCCAAAGGAGAACACAGAAGAGTAATAAATCTCATGTCATATACCCAAATTCTCCCACAGAGAATCTACCCTAATATACTACAGATAATTCCTAAATGCTAATTGCCCCACATATTTTCCAGAAACAGCTAATCAGAGGCAGAACAGAAATTCAGATGTAACAGATTAGCAGTTCAGCCAATAAAGAGCAACACATCACAGAAACCTCCCACCTTTGTGTTTCATAATTAAGAACCAAACCAAATTAATTTATTCTGTAAATGAAGACTCCTAGGCCTTTATCCTACAGTGTTAACCCTGCCTCTGTAAGAGTATCCAAGAACCAAGCTTTAAAATTTGTTGAAGATTTTACAGAGTTCAGAAACAAGAGGCTACTGTGCCTCAAAAAACCTACAAAAGTACACTAGATAAAACTGTTCACTTAAAATTTTCCTTGCTCAAGGGGGCATTGTTATTCAAAATACACTGAAAATTTTACACAGATGTGGATGTTTTCCTCCTCTCTGGGACAGCTGAACTACGTCTGTTCTCTGGTAAGAATCCAATCATAAAAAGCAACAAGACTTGTTGGAAGTCACATGAGTTCTTAATAGCCTACATGGAAGCAAATGTACTTTGAACTTACAGCACATAAGGTAATAGGCTGGGATGGTAAGGGTGTGGTGGTATTGGCTGCTGTGATCGGTATCTGCTGCGCCCTGTGAGTCTTCGAGGCATAAAAGGTGGGTAAGGCTGCAAGAAAGAAGAAAATAAGCTTCATCTGGAACTTACAGAACTGGAACTTACGTCCACTTCTGGGCTCCACAGCATAAGAGAGACATGGACATACTGGAGAGAGTCCAACAAAGGGCCACTAAGATGGGATCAGAGCATCCCACATGTGAGGAGAGGCTGAGTGAGCTGGGACTGTTCAGCCTGGAGAAGAGAAGGCTCAGGACAATTTTTCTTGTGCAGCTGCAGTTGAACTGCCTGTAGATCCCCCAGAAAGTCGGCTTCAAGCAAGCTTGTCTGTCTTTATAACATGGTGCAGTCCAAATTATGGAAGCACTCTATATAACTGCTTGTCTACAAATTGCAAACACTCTGGAGAAGAACTATTTTTAAAGAATTCTAGCTTTCCTGGCTTGTGGAAACTCAACATACAATGAAGAACTAAGTAGAAGTGACAGCAGCTTTTCTAAACTGTACTATATTAGTTTCTGCAGTAGAAGTCCTGGACTACATGGCAACATGGAACATTTTCTAAGTAACTGCTACCACACTCTGCAGGTAATTGTTATCAGAAATAATTTGCTGGTATCATTATGTTACCTTTAACTTGACTAAAACAAAAATACCACAGTATGCAGCTAAAACCAATAACGGAATACAACTACAGGAAGTTCCACTTTTCAACAAAATGTACCATCAAATAAAGATCAAGAATGTTAGTGCAGCATGAATGAGAATGTAGCACCAAAAACAATACTTACTACACCAAATGACACCTCCTGGTGTAAAGGATCGTGGGTTAAGAATTGGAGAGGAGCTGAGGGAGGCAATGTTGGTGGATGGGCTGAAGGAGGGTATGTAAAACCTCCTACAGGAAGATGTTCTCCAAGCAGTTCTACTTCATTTTCTATCCTTTGAAGTGGCTAAAATAAAAAGAGATACGCTTTGTTGCAATAATAGAGATACAATTTTTCCCCAGTGAAGAACTGCAATCTCAGCTACATATTCTGAGCTGCTGTGGTCAATTTTACGGGGTAAAAAAAAAATAAAATTACAGGTATAATGGTACTCAGTTTCACACAGTAACTCTGTGAACAATTCCTGTGTCATTAGCACTACCAAAAAGCAAAGACAGCACTACACATTTGATATAAATTCACCTTTTCCAGCTAGCCATGCTTATAGACCAGGAATTTATGTGATCTAGCAAATATAGTAGTGGCTGTAATTTCCTGTGTCTTGCATTTTTCAGGACAAATATTTTCTCTCCTTCTTGCCAGGCTGTTCTCACTGTACAACTATGCGAGAGAAAAAAATAAACAACCATAGACAAGAACTCAAAGTGTGTCAGAAAACCTGAAAAGTGGAGAGGAAACATGGCGACTCCAATGGATTAAAATGCTAATGATATTCAGTAATCAAGCAGATGGTTTCCTAGGAGGGTCATGCAAGCAGTCTTACTAAGAACACACAGTCCAGAGGTTTCAGAAGCATGAGATTCCAGTTCAGTATTGTAATCCAGTCAACTGTAGTACATCAGTCAGGCCCCAAAGTTCTCAAGAAATAACCAGGAATTGTAATTGTTTCATTAATACGCCTTTCTGTTCCTGACACTGAATTGCACCATTTCAAGAAATTCAGCTACAAAAACCACCTTGTGTATTCAAAGGAATATTCTGTTTCCCTGTTACACAAGGCAAACTTTAAAAACAAGGTATTCTTGAACTACTAAGACACAAGCTTTTTGCCAGAGCTAAAAGTTGACCGTCAAGCCTAATCAATAACCTAAGTAAGCAACCCAAGCTAAAACCCAAGCCCATACTTTTCTAAGGGAAAATCTTCTAAAGATTACAACCGAAACCCATCTTTTCCCAGCTGTTCTCCCATCACCATAACAAAGTCATTACAATCCTATCCAGACCCAAGACACGCATGGAGACGTCTCAGTAACATCTTAAGTAACAATTAGGCTGTTTGCTATTTCTGCATTACTGAAATACCAGCATCTTCTAGTCAGAGGCTCAAACAAAAGGACACAGATACACAGATAGCCCCACTGTAAGAGCTGTAAGCCAGAACTGAAAATCTAATTTCCCCCAAATCCAGAACAGGGTCACATTTTCCCGTGTTTGCATAGTCTCTATCACTAAGCCAAGTCTGCTTAGGCAGAAGGCATCAAGATCTTTCATAAGGGGGGTGGAGGGGAGGGAAGAGAGGGGCAGGGGGGAAGAACAAGGGAGACTGTCCTAAATGCATCTGGACTACCTACGGTCATTATGTTCTAGAAAAAGCACTGTTCATTTAAAAATTAACTGAGAAGTAACACAAAAGATGTATACAATGAAAGCAATATTCTGTGCTTTCTTCTCCCTCTGCTAAGCTTTTCTCTGAAACCACTACTGCACTACATAACCTCCTCTGGATTCTCTTCTGATTGCTGGGAAAGAAATACCTGAAGGAATAGCTCGTGAAGCATATATACATCTTTTTGACAGAAGTAAAGGCCTATGGAGAAACAGCACAGACAAAAGCTGATGAAATCTGAAGAGAAACACAGTGAACTTTATTTTTTCATCTTCACACTACATAATTACAGAGTTGTTAAGGAAGCATAAGTGCAAAAACCTACTACTTTAAACAAAATCTGCTTCCTCAGTCAGGTATCAGCACTATTTCCCCATCCAGCCCCACCAATTCTATGGAGAGGGGGGTAAGAAGCATTACTTACCGACCGTGACTGCTGTGCTTGTAAAGGAACGAATTGTCCTGGAGGAGGCAAGTGAGGAGGGTGGTGTGGAGAGATATGAGGAGGATGCAAAAGGAATGGGTCACCAGAAATGAGGGGTGGAAATGCTGCATATGGTACAGGTAGGTGCTGGACTGAACACGCCTGAAGCATCTGAAATAAAATCAAAACAACATATTTTTGACTCGAGCACAAACATTCCCTGTAGAATGTTCTATTTTTATTATGGAAAGATACCATTAAAACAAAACAGTTCTATTGCCTCCTTGGAAAAGCCTCCAAAACACACAAAAAGAGTAACTAATTCAAATACACAAGGAACAGTGATCAATACAGAACAGGCTCTAGAAGTACCACAGTGTGACATCTGCTAAGTGAAAAGTAGCTCTTACTTCTCACAAGGTCAATGGGAGTTCAGCTTTTCCAACACTTCATGATTAGACAGACTCCTAAGTGATGAGGAGACACACTTATCTTAGTTAATTGCTGTCAGACCATGCCTTAAAACCTCTGTTGCCCCATATGCTGAGAATAATTCATAAGCTCTGCTCAGTTCTGCACTTTGAAGGGAGCTTCATGCTCCAAAGGTGGCTTCCTAAGTGATAGCTACTGTGGGAAATAGCCCTTCTTCTTTTTGAAATTCCTCATACAAAAGCAACTTTGGGCACTAAACTTTGAACACAGAAGTGATGAAAGCACTGCAGGGGAGCAGGAACATGCTCGCAGAAGTGTTCAGTTTTACTTTCAACTCTAGATACGGAGGATCAAGAAAGCCTTCATTCTCTTCTTCTTGCTCTTTGATCCATCATCAAAATGTCAGGCATTTCTGTTACTTTTTTGACAATTAAAAGCACAGTTAATAAGATACTTGCCATCAAATCTTACAAAGAAAGAGGACCCAGTCCTGACCTCTCTTTTTTTTTTTTCTCTTTTCAGTCAGGTCACACAACATATATTGTACAGACTGACTATAATGGCATAAAATGGTAAAGAGATCCAGTTTAAAATCAGATTACAATAACAGAGGTGGAACTATCACCTCAATTTACTGTGATCATGACCAAACATAATCCTAGCAGACTAATTTGATCTATTTTTTCTTAAACGCTGACCATTCTTCACCCTCAGCTACTACGTCATCTTTCTAAGAAATAGCTGAAGATAAATTTGCAGGTAGAACAGCACACCGTTCTTTAAAACAGGTGTTACTTTGGGGAACATATTAAAATGTTTCATCCCAAGATTCTGTACAGTAAAGGTTACTGTAGCTCCAATATATGTTTGGAACAATCTTTGCTATGCCTATGGCACTTTTTAAGTTGCAGCAAATGAGGCCATATTATCTTTCAAGTGGAAAGAAACGAAAACTACCAATTTATTCATTCAGGCTTTCGGAAAATTTCTGCTGTTTCAACATCTGCTTCCAATAAGTTTTAAAACTGATGAAAGTATTTCATAAATGGCATTTGTTTATTTTGTAGTTACATATGCAGTGAGAGAGACAAATACTGTGAAAGTAACAAAAGAATACTGGGAAGTTCATAGATGAAGCTGGTGAGCAAGTTGACGTGCTGGAGGGGAGGGCTACCTTTCAGATGTACTGTTACAGGCTGGAAAAATTGGCTGACAGGAACCATGTGAAGTTCAAAGGCAAATGTGAAGACTGGCACTGGGAGAGAGTAACTCCATGGAGCAGGACATTTTGAGACTGACTGGCAGGTGAGCAGATTTGCAGAAAAAAAGTTGGGTTCTGGTGGACATGTCAAATAGGAGTACAGAAGAGTCACAGTGTACTCCTGCAGTAAAAAAGAGCTACTGCATGCTGGGCTGCTTTACTAAGAATGTAACTAGTGGGTTCAGTGAAGTGATTCCACTCCTCTTTTAAATTTGTGAAGCTGTATCTCAACTCCTGGCTCCCCTATTTTCCTCCTCAGTGGCAAAGAAAGACACTGACATATTGAAATGAGTCAACTGAAAGACAACATGACCACGAGCCCGGAGCACACTGAGTAAAAGAAGAGGCTGCAGAACTGTACTTGTTCTGCCTTAAAAAGAGAAAACTAAGCAAAGACCTCACCACTATCTTCAGCTACTTCGTGAGAGTGGGTAGACAGAACCTGCCTCTTCTTCAAGGGGCAAAGTGAAAGGACAAGGATCAATGGGACCAAGTTGCAGCAAAGAAAATTCAGTCAAATACACAGAAGAAATTATTCACCACAAGGATAGTCAAACACCGGACCGGAGGCTTAGAAAGTTTGTGAAATCTCCATCCTTGAAAACTAGTGCTGCTCTTTGCAGGTGACTACCAGATGATCTCCAGATCCCCCTCCTAATGTACATTATTCATCAATTATGTGATGTAACAGAAGAAAGCATAAAGTCTGCCTGTTGACGTTACATGAACTCAACATTAATTCTTTATATTCACTTGTACTGCATCCATTCTCTCAACACACTTGATTAACTGTTGTACATTCAGTCCAAACATGGTTAGAGCTTTACTCCTGCATATATTTAAAGGACAGCTGCATTGCTGAATTATAAGACATTTTATGAATTGCACAGCTAATATGTCTGTTCAAAGCAGAGGGTAAGATTATTAGTATCTGTTATTTAGATTTCCCTAAGCCCCAATATAGTTTTGTTGTTTCTTGGGACATGTTGTGGTCTTGCATTGCTGAATTTTCTCTCCAAGTATTGTTCTAATCTCTGGGTACCCACTTGTCTGGGACGGCTAAGCATCCATGTTTGTCCCAACAACTCAGGCAGACAGAAGGGGTGCCACCATGTCTACAAACAGCAGGAACAGAGCACTTTAGAGGAAAAGGTTCTTTTCTGAACAGATATTAGCAAATTGTTAACACTCTGAGTGATGGGCACACCTGTTGAGATGGTGCATGGTTGCTGGGGGCTGGGGTTTGTCTCCCTGGCAGGGAACCAGCTGCCTGCCCCGCCCCCCCCCAAAGCCACCAGGATACAGGGCTGTTACCCACTCCCCCTGAGGGGTGATCCTGGACAGACAGAACTATATAAAAGGTAAGCATGACCACCTACTCACTCTTGGTCTCATCACCCCCAGATCAAGATTCTGCTTGACAAGACTGAACAAAGGGGGCAGTGATATTGCTGTGTCTCTGTCACTCTCTCTCTCTTTCTGTCCCCCACTCTTTCTTATCTTTCAACTCCTTCCTACTCTGTTTTCTATGTGATTTTTATCACCAAATAATTGATAAGCATTATTTGGTGCTTAATTGGTAAGTGTTATCTGGTGATAATTGATAAGCATGATTTGGTGCTTGACTCTGAGCAGTTAATTCATAACATTTTTGCAGCTGATACGTGTTGCTGAGGAAATTTAAATAAAACTGTATTGTACTGTTCCTTGATTCACTGTCTGACTTCACCCAGTTGGTGCACCTTTTGGGGAAGCACAAAAGATTCACCTCCCTCAACCATCCACTGTAGTGGGGCAAGACACCAGTCTGAGATTGCTTTGCTCTACAAACACCACCACTAAACAGAAGAAAAAAGTTGTCTCCCATCCTGCCTCAGGGATACACACTGACTCACGTAACGGATTTTCACCAACCTGAAAGGTAAGCAGAAATACTGGTTACAAACACTCCAGACTGTCCAGCAGTATTCTGCAGACCTTGTTATCTCTCATGGGGATAAATGGCAGCTGGACAAAATGAATACAAATTACCCTCACTCTTCAACTAGCAGCTTAAAGAAACAGATGGTCACATCATGGGTTTTGTTTCAGTGTCATAGGGGTGTTCATGCCCTCATGACACAGAATGCACAAGAGGAAATGTTAAGTTACACACTGCTGGCAAATACACAGCTAGCAGAGACCAATACTTATACCAACATTATTAACGGTTACTGGACACTATATATAGTTTTTATGTATGATTGTCGTGGTGTTGGCCGGGACAGTTAACTTTCTTAATTCTAGCTAGTAGGAGGCTATGTTTGGGATTTATGCTGAGGAGAAGGCTGATAACATACTGATGTTCATAGCTGTTGTCAGGACAATCAAGGACTTTACAGCTTCTCATGCTATGCCAGTGTCTGCAGGGGCAAGAGAAGCTAGGAGGGAGCACAGCCCCAATTACTAACCTAGGATTTGACCCTGGGTTTAGGATTGAGACCCAAATTGGCCAGTAGTATATTCCATATCATGCACATAATGCTCAATATGTAGATGTTCGGAACTTCTCTTTCTCTAGGCTGTCCCTCTCTCTGGGTCATCTCCCTGTCTCTTGGGGCCATCTCATTCTCTAGGCTGGCTCTCTGCCTCTTTATCTCTTTTCTGGGATTGCAGTTTTGAGAATCTCCCTGCTCCAGGATTGTCAGTTGGGAACAGGCTGAGCTTTGGTCAATGAGTGGTGAGCAGCTGCACTGTGTATCACTCATTTGTATATATTACTATCATAATTATTTTCAGTTTTGTTGCTTTAGTTATTAAATTGTTCTTATCTCAAGACACAAGTCTCTTTTCCCTTTAATTCCCCCCTCCATCCCTGGGAGAGGTGAGGATGAGCAAGAAGCTCTCTGGTGTTTCACTGCTAGCTCGATATAAAACCACAACAATGATAATACATATTTACACTACAAAAAGGAGGGGGGAAAAAAGCTGAGACTCTTGGACCAGGTTCTGCAACCTTCACCCAAAGCTGAAACTTCCTGGGGTACACTTCTTCAGCTCTGATATCTTTTAGAACTTAATGACGAAATTTCCACAGAATGGCAGCATCAGACCTGGGAAGTGGTATCTTCGAGCTGATATATAAAAATTTCTAAGAAAACAGTTCAAATTCTTTCAAATTTAAAGCTGGAAAATAAGCCAGGCAAGACACTTTACTCCCAGAAAGGCATAGAGAGACAATTACTTAACTATTAAACAATATTTTGATTCACTTTATGAGAGCATTTTGAGACAGAAGAGCCTTTCTCAGCTTTTAGTGATCTTTCAGGATCTTATTACTTCTCAGAAGAAAACTGATTTTTGAATATCAGACCTTTTTGTATGTAACCAACCCCTGCACATGGTCTGCATTTAAAGATTTTTTTTGCTAGGCGAGTAAAATACTAGGGCCTGAGCAGTGAGGGCCTGAAACAAAGTTGACCTCTAGATGAACCTCACAACCTAACAATATATTTAATATGTTTAATATTGATCAGATATGCAATGTATTACCTTATTAATATATGCCAATTTATAAAGTTTTGTTGTAACGCTTATACAGCTTTGCTGTAATGCTTGCTGTGTAAGGTTAGTCAGCAGAAAGATACTAATTGTGTAACAGTAGCCAAAATTAAGCACGGATGTTTCCTGTTGCCACAGATGGCAAAGGAATGTGGCAAGTCGTGACAAGCTTTGTAGTAATCTTGATGATGTATCTCTCAACATTCTTTTGTTCTTGTTATCTCCCCTCTCCTGCCCTGGCCAGGCTCAAGACGGAAGTTAACAAGGAGAAAACCACATCAGATGTTTTTTGCAGTTTAAGATACAAAGTTGTTTATTCAACTGTATAAAGGTGGGTAACGTTTGCAGGGAAATTTGGAAGCCTCATCTATACAGTGGATCCACTGCATAGAGATTTCCCAATTGCCGGGAAGGGTTCTCCAAATCCTCGCTGCAACTAGGCTCTCCAGCGACTGCAGATCTGGATGATGGTAATGTATTATTAGGGCAATTGGTGATGTATCTTTATTAATCACTATCACTAACTCTATGTAGTAATGATTAGGTGCACTACCTTACTTTCTGCTTGCTGTAGTAGTTTGTTCATTATTTTACTGCTTTACCTTATCTTGCTTTAATTTCTTTTCACTGTATTATTTTTCTCATTATTTTATCACTTCAAACATCAGTCAAAATAAGCTTACTTCTTTAATTTGGTGCCTGTGTCCTTTGTGCTAACCCTGTCAATTGGCAAAACAAAGTGAGCTGCCTAATAAAAGCCTCACGCAGAATAGCTGCTGATAATAAGTCAGTTCATAAACCAGCATTTAGTTTGAGTTAAAAACCATCAGGTCTCTATACTACAGACAGTCATACTCTATAAAGACGGTCGGTAAGTACCATATGCTTACCAACTCAAAGGCCTACACGCCTAGGCCACTGCAATTAACCACAGGGAAAAAAAGGCTATTTCCAACACAATTAAAGCCACAGAGACACTAAAGCTCTAAGGTGACATTCCAATGTCCAAGATTGAAGCTGGTGTTATTACAGAGACCCACTTACGGGTGGAGGCACACTGCAAACTGGAAGGTGCTGCCCACTGAAAACGACTGAGCACCCTGGAACCTGCTGTGCGCTGCAGGCAGGAATGTGCTGCCCTGTGCAAAGCGGTATCCCATGTGGAGCCACCGTTGTCACTGTGTATGAGACAGGAACCGTGCCCTGATGAATCTGCAGCAAAAGGAAAAAAAGATTAAAAACTTACTGTAAAGTCTTAACGGTGTTCTACAGCACAATGAATAAGATAACAAGCTTTTAGCTACATATCAGAAACAAATATACTCACAATGAAGGTGTAAAAGGAAGCATATGCTTTAGCTCCTGTTCATTACAATACTATTCTCAAAGGAATATTACTTACCAGTCAGCAGTTTCTGTGCAAGCCTAAGAGGGATCTCTCAGCTTAAAACGTTAAGATTTCCAAGGCACCTTAGAGTCACTCAGAAGGACCTCAAACTCTATTAAGCCTCCCCTCCCCCCTCCAAAGGTTAGACCTTACAAAATAAGAAGGCAGTAATTCCCACATAAAACCTAATCTACAAGCAGCTAAAGAATCTTCCCAACCCTGAAGGGACTTACTCAACAATCATTCAGACACTTGTATCTTTAAGAACAAAAAAAAAAGCGTAGACTTTCTGTCTTCCAAAGAGACCAATCTCTTGATTTACTTTCAGACCAACATTCAAGCTAAGTCTCCAAACCTAAACGTAACAGAACAGCTAACTGGGAAGCTGCAAAGTAAATATGACTATGAGGCAACACACCCTAAACATCCACATTTATATTAGGAAACAGACCCACATAATTCAATTTTCTAGCTAGTGATATTCCCTAGAATTTAATAATCAAACTAAGATCCAAAGGTAGTCTGGATCTACAAACCACTTGGGGCTTTTTCTTGGTGGTGGTTTGTTGTTTTGTTTTGGTATTTATTTTTTTTTAACACTAAACAAAAATCTCTGATGCTGATAAAACTGAAAAGGCTTAAATGTCAGGGAGCATGGATTAATAAAAAGTAACTATTCCAAGGAAGCTTCCACTTCCTTCATAATCTGCTAAAATGGAACCTGCTTGCTTAAAATGGAACAAGCAAGAACAGCTCATTAGGAAGGTGAGAATGAGAAAAAGACAGCTAACCTACTGAACTGGTAGTGTACAGTCAGACATACGAGACAAAACAGAATGCAGATCACTGAACAGAACTTAAAACCTCAATCTGTGTATCACTAATGACAGGAACCAGTCTCAGGAGAGACACTGAATTTGATCCTGTTCTGGCTCAGGTACAAAAAGTTGGGCATATAGTGCAATGCTGGGTGCGATTCTGAAATGTTTACTGCTCAGAGTAATAATAAAAAAATGACCTATCAAAATGGTTTTGTCTTCTAAGTATAAAACATCACCATGGAAGACATCAGTGAATCTGGAAACACTGATCATAGAAGGTACTTGGAAGGTAGATGCAGTGGGATGGAACAACTGTTTATCCAGGCTTGTCATGATGTAATCGTGCAACACAAAGCAAGAGCACGATTTGAATTTTTGAGATGCTGCAGCAGCAGAATTGTTCATCAAAATGTAAGGTTGTGAGATAGCTAGAACAGAATAGTGTTAGCTTCCACCCTTGCACTTGGTCCCACAGGCAAAACCTTCCTACTGAGAACTGCCCTGCACACATAATACAACACACCAGCAGCATGCAGCTGCACTGAATGCAAACCAGCAGGGATGTTAAGAGTTGCATTCTATGTATGTGCAGTTTGGCAAGTGGACATCTGGACAACCAGTTCTATTTCCCAGTTTATGACTACACAGCAACTAACACACTTGTACTGCAGTCTGCTGATTTAACAAACAACAATGACAAATGTTATCACAATAGGATAAATTACTTTAAAAGTCCTCAATTAACAGAATTCTGTACCAATTACTGTCGCAGAAAGGAATTATTTACTTTCTGGACCAACCACATATCTCATTTTTTCATGTCATTTAAGGAGGTGTTGATTAGACTTGGATGGCTGATTTAGTTATGTGACAATACTATCATGTCATGTAGGCAACCAATTACAGGCATTGTGAACTTTACTTCTAAATAATGCATTTTAACTTCTTAAAGACTCCTAAGCTAAAGAGAGATATTTCACATGAAATAGAGTACATTCTCAATTATCATATCACACCTTTATCACATTAAATTAACTTCAGAATCAAAAAAATGGCACTTAAAAGGTTTGAGCCAGAGGCCTACAGAAGTATGTCAATGCACACACTGACAAATTTTTAAATATCACTCTTTATCAAAAGTCTAGACTTCTTTCTGTTTTTGGTTTTTTTCTTCCACTTCCTACTCCAGTACTCCATACACCAATAATATTCAACAGGAAAAATGGTCTCTAAGAGGCAAATAGAATTTTGTGTTACGTGACTTTCATTGCCAACTTAATCTGGGGAGGTGAGAGATCCTGAAGACTTTGGAGGAAAAAAAACCAAACCCAAAACACATCTTCAACATCCTTCTGTTTGTACTCTTAAAACTCTTACCTGATCATGAATGTCAACCATCATTGCATTCTGCTGTGGTGGATGAGCAGCTGGGTGCAACATACGAGGAGATACATTTGGCGGGTGAAAGGCTCGGGGCTCTTCTATTGCTTGCTGCTGTCCATAGGAGAGACGGTGATAGTTTTCATCCTGGCTAATGGAATTATGTCTGGACAAACGATCTCTCCTTGCCCTCTGACGTCGAACAGGAGGACTGGAAATGCATTAAAAAATGAGAGAATATGTAAATGACATAAATCCTTCTTAATAACTAAAATGACAAGAGAATCAAGTATCAAGAAATTTTTTACACTGGAAAATTTTTCTACAACAGGTTTATTAGATTGGAATACTGACAAAACTGCTAAAAGAGATGACACTTTTTTTTCAGCATAAAAGTGCTTAACAGAGCACAACTTAATGCTGTAAAGTAAAACAGGAGAATTCCTGTGTAAATATTAACCTGTTAAACAAATGGCACTTGCATTGCCAAGACAAGTGCTCAAAAGTCAAGAGAGCAAACTTCAAGACATTTCTGTGCATTTATTCTAGGTAAAAATCCTTAATTACATGATGACAGATCTCCCCAGGATCCTTGCTCCAATCAGGCCACAGAATGGTTGTTCACTTAGTGATGACAGACAAAGCAGCAGACTCCTCTGAAGAAACAAATGAATTTTTCAGCTCTCACATGTTCACTACATAATTGAGTGCCTCACAGAATTATCTCCAGAAGATCCCAGGACACTGTGAGTATGGTAACCTTTCTTTTTCAGAGTGAAGAACTGTTGTGTAGATTGACTTAGACCAGACATCCACTTCTTTTGAGTAACTGATATATAAGCATAGCATTTGATTATGTATTCTTATATAATTGTGTATATGTTCTGAGCAGAGCTGCCACTATCGTGAGCTGAGACCTCTGCAAATTAGAGAACAGTGGCTCAAGTTCAACCCTCAGAAAACGATACACACCTAGAGTAACAAATGCCCTACTATAAATTTTGATCAGGTCACATCTCATTTGTTGGGAAGGGGAAAGAACTGAAAGCACAAAACCATCTCCCAGGACTTTCAATACATGCCTTCCAATCTCCACAACACATAAATTACAGGTCCCAGAGGCAACAGCAAATCAAAGCTACATGGGATGAAACAGTTTCCCAGCTACGGAACAGGCTGAAGGAACCAAATTGCAAGAAGAGACAAATAGGGTCTGTGACTATTAGAACATGTCCTCTCTGACTGCACATGGAACTTAAGATTCTTCACTCTCACTATTCCAATCACTATTACTGAAACCTGCTGGCATAACCCACAGATTCCTCGAGTTGAGTCCAACTTTTGTGCTGTGTGAAACAGAAAAACTCTAGGGAAGAGAGAGCTTATTGCCAGTTACTCAGACGCCACTGTGAGTATCTGATACAATGTTTCAAGCCCCTATTTTTCTGTCCTGCTTCACAGGGACCTTACCCAGTTATCCACTATCTTACAAGGGAAACAAATGGCAGTTCACAACAGATCAGACAGAAGGCATAATGCCAGATTATAACACAACATTCTGAACACAAAAACCACCATAGCCTTCTTTATCTTTACAAATTGCCAGAATCTAACCTAAATCCACCCTCTTTCAGTTTAAAACCATTACTTCTCGTCCTGTCACCACAGTCCCTGATGAAGAGTGCCTTCCCATCTCTCCTGTAGGCCCCTTTTAAGTACTGGAAGGTTGTGCTTCAACTGGAACTTGTGACTGGGAGACCGGAACTTGTGCTTGAAGTCTTTAAAAAACATCCACAAATAACCTCCTCTGGTTCTACATGCACAGTATAAACACAGTAAACGACCAGTTAAAACAAAGAGACAGGATGGAATTGGTGAAAAAAAATGCAGGAAGTCCGACACTCAGGTAGGAAAAGCCATCAAAAGGTAACTGCAGAGTTAGCATTTGCAGATCTTAGTGTTTTCTAACAAGGGTGACTTCTTTGCAGTAATACATTCTTAAATTCCGTTAGTTCAGAATTACATTCAAGACAAGGAGGGAAGGAAGCACAGATGAAAGGTGAGGCACAGCAAAGGTACAGATCTCCCCCATTTCACCATGACTGATAAAGACAACTTGGAATAGTCTACTCTGTTTCATATAGGCATTCATTATGTTTTTATATTCACAATTCCCCTGTACTATAAGTAGCTGGACAAAAATAACACCTTTCTGTCAGAAGGCTATTCTTCTAAATGCAATATTTATCTGCTTACAGTAAGTTTGAAAAAACTCACTGTGAATTAGGGCACTATTGTCCTAAGCACAGTATAAAATCCCCAATAAAAAGAGGTAAAGTCTAAACAGTAGCCCAGATAATTGAAAAAAGTCCAGATAAAAAACCAGCATAGCCTGTGCTGACCAAAAGGAGTGAACTGGTAGGACAAAAGAGTTAATGCTGATCACAGAATCACAGAATCACAGA